AGGGGTGCAGGGTCCGGACGAGGGGTGCAGGGTCCGGACGATGAGGGGTGCAGGGTCCAGACAAGGGGTGCAGGGTCCAGACGAGGGGTGCAGTGCTCCAGCCTTTCCGTGGAGCCTCTTTGCTCCTCTGCCCCATTTCTGCCCCCACGGTCTCAGGTTGCGGGGTCCCTTTCCTCATGTCTCCCCAAGGCCAGCCTGTTTGGCCTGTTGAGTCCGTGCATGTCCTCGATGCCGAGGCTCCCTGCCCCTGGCTCCCGTCCCTCTCGGGACAGCAGGTGGGGTGTGGCTCCCCGTTTCCTCCTCCCCAGCAGCAAACAGCCCGGGCTGGGGGTGTCTGCTTTTAAAGTACTAGGACCACAGCACCCACACCCCCAGCTTGCTCTGCCCCCCCCCAAACTGTGTCCCGAGTCCGCAGAGCTGGACCCGTCTCTGACTGCTCACACCCGTCTCCCACGCGTATCCGGCCTGTGTCCAGCACCGGAGACCGTCCCCTCTCAGTGCCTGGAGCCCGCGGCCTGGCCCCAGAACTGAAACGCGTGCGGTTGGGGTCACAAGAGGTACGAACGCCAGGCCGTGGGGTGCGACCCCCGCGCTGGTGGGACCCGCCCCCGAGAGTCCCGACTGACTCCCCAGCTCTGAGCCATTGTCAGACGGCAGCGGACCGCGCCCCAGCAGGGGGACTCCGAGCTGCGGCCTCCGCTTCTGACCTTTTGAGTGGAAAAGCAGCGGGGCTGTGCCGGACCTGCAGCGTGGCAGAGGCGCCACGGCCCTGGGGTACAGCGCAGGCGGCAGCGGCTCCAGGCGGAGAGGAGCTGCCCAGGGAAACTCGGGCTTAGAGCGATGCTGCAGCTCTGCAACCTGGGACCACGCAGACAGCGCAGCAGCCCAGGGAAGCTCCGCCCGGCCCCGCGTCGGAGTTTGCAGAGAAAACAGAGGGAGCCGCTGGGAGAGCGGTCAGGGGGCGGCGGGGGCGCTGTCGGGGAGACAGGCGGGAGCAGCGCATCGAGGGGGCCGCACCCCACGAGCCTCCCGCCCCAGCGCGCTGCGGCCGCGAGGACACGGGCCCTTGACGGCCGAGGGGACCCCAAGAGCCCGCGCCCCTGCGGACCTGCGTCAGCTTTGACCCCGGAGCTCGGCGCGTGGCAGGCTCCCCTGCACACGGGCACCCCGGGGCGTCGGGGTGGGCACCTCGCCCCGTTCACGCGTGACCGTGCCCCGCCTCCCGTGGGGCCTTCGTGCGGGGAGCGTCCCGGACACACCCCCGGGCGGTGCCATCCACAAAGCCGCTCAGACGGAGGCCGCTGGTGCCGGAGGAGCTCGCGTTTCCGGCCCAGAGCCTCGCGCTGATTTCAGCTGCCAGAGGAAGGTCCGTCCAGGTCTCAGATGGTGGCAACAAATGTAACGCAAAACGCCGTGGCCCCTTACACCAGAGACCGTCACTCACTTCTCCGGGGCGGAGTGACCGGTGCTGTGGCCTCGGCGGTAAGGAGCATCATCACGCCCCGCCGGGCCATCGGGGCCCTCACAGCCACGCGCAGAAGGCAGGAAGTTCAGCGTGGAGGCAGTTTGATTATCGGATCTTAACAAACAACGCTGACTGGCCCATTTGGAGAAACCCAACCAGAAATCTCAGCTGAGAAACTGACAGAGAAGCGCCTTGAAGGACAAGGCCGGGCCAGGGCCAGCCGGCCCCGTTCCCGCGACACAGCTGACTGGACTTTCCCAGCTCTCAGCTCAACCGACCTGGCCCACGGCAGAGGCCCCGAGACCGCAGAGTGGCCCCAAGGTGCCCTGGCTCGCCGCTGTCTGCTGGCCCCTGCGCCCGGGCCCCGGGGCCACTCGGCGCTGCGTGGAGCCTGGCAGGAGGCCCGCGCTGAGCGTGGGGTGGGATGCTGGGCTCGCCCCAGGCCAGCAAGGGGCAACACAGCCCGATCCCAGCCAGTTTAACTGCTAAGAATTCTGAAAGTGTAGCGGATCGCAGCGAGGAAGAGCTGAGCTCCAAGTGCAGGTAAAGCCGTAATGAAAATTTGACCTTGATGTCTGCTCTGTGACCGCTGGGCCCAAGGCTTCCACCTGGCTGGGCTCTCCTGCTGGCCCTGCTTCTCCCAGGCAGGGTTCACTGGGTCCTGCTGGGTACACAGCCGGGGGCGGGAGCTGCGGCCGGCCGCATGGCCCCTCTGGGCCCCTCCCAGGTCCCTCTGACCTCCACCGTGCGGCACGCAGGTCAAGCCTTGCCAAGCTCCCCAGTCTCTCCACCTGCTCAAAATCCGGAATGTCCAGACCCAGCTCCTCTGGCCCCCGGCTGGCCTCTTCTGCCCCAGGCCCTCCTGAGCGGGGCCCCTGGGCGTCTCTGGCCGCGCCCCGTCACCCCACTGCCTGTGCGGGTCCGGAGCGGTGCCGCCCTGCCCGAGTCTGCGTGCTCTGGGCGGCTGGGGGTGACAGCCAGAGCAGCCGCTGAGTGGGACCTTCGATAACGGGCGCGATGGGCCCGCGCCCGGGCCCCAGGCACAGGGTGATCAGGGGTGGCCGCAGGGCCCAGGCCTCCTCTCTCCTGCCCCTCACTCACTCACTCACCGACTCAAAGGCCGGGCCTTGGCCTCGTCCTCCGGTGAGGCTGCCCAGTGCGCCTCTCATCCTCCTAATCTCCCCCAGAAAAGCTGTCAGCTGTTTCCACCCCCACCCCATCCCTCCCTGGGGGGAAGAACTCCACGTTCAATATCTGCTGGATTTAAATTCCTGTTCTGAGATACTTCCAACTCCAAGTTTGCAACTTAATATTTATGACATTCCGTTCAAATTGCATTCGCTTATCTAGCTGGGGGCCAGCAAGGGCTGTGAGAACATCAAAATTTTACATCTCAGAAACCCTGAACCTTGAAATTCGTGTCCACTGCTGTTTCCAGCAATCTCCAGAGCTAAGTGATTAATTATACCCAAGATAGTCCAAGGCAATTATTTAATTAGACTGTTATGGGCTGCATTTGTTGGGAGCAAAGGGAAAGCCTTCACCCCAGTTTCCCCACATCTGGCCTTTGGATGACTTAAGAGATAAAAGCAGATAGGAAAACATTTTTATGACTAAGTCGATTTCTAGAAATTTTCCATTAAGTGGAAAACTTTTTCAGAAATGGGCCTCTCCTGAGCGCTCGGGCGCTCGCTCGCTCCCCGGGACCCGGTCAGGGCAGCGGGCATGGTGCAGCCGGGCCAGTGCCTGCCTCCTGGACGAGGAGCCGGTCCCCAGCCAGCCCCTACGTGCCCGAAGCGCGCCTGCACCCACTTCTCCCTGGCTGCTGCTCCCCGGCGTGTCTTAACGGAGACTTTGCTATGGACGCCCCGACACGCACGTCCCGCTGGCTGCTTGCCACTTCTGAAGGTGGGGACCTAAGTTTTGTTGCCCAAAGGACAGCTGCGAGGAAGAGAGGTGCAGGCCGTCTCCCCGGCGGCTCCCCAGAGCCCCACTGCACCCCTACATGGGGGGGTGCGTGGGGGGCCGGCGCAGAAGAGCGTGGGAAGGCCGCTGTCAGCGGAGACTGGGAACGGCTGGAACTCTTCAGTGCTCCAAGCCTCTGAGGCCTCGGTGCAGAGTGGGGGCCGCTCACAATAGCGGGGGTCTCCCCATGTTGGGCCGCCTGTGTCCCCATGCTGGGTCTGGCCCTCCAGCCACCCCACACCCCCCTGCCTTCCTCGTCTCCGGCCGCCCTGTGCACACTTCTGGGGTCTCCGCCGTCTGGCCCAGGGTCAAACTGGCTCCTGCTTCACTTGCTGCCTGTAAAGCATCGCGCAGCGCTGACGGTGGAGTCCAGCGGTGAGCCGTGAGGAACTGGTCGTTGGGTTGTGCTCGCCATTCGAGTCCTGGACAGACCAGTGACTGATTCAAAGGCCCTGTGTCCCCAGCGCGCACGTGAGGTTCTGTCCTGCATTCACATGGGAGAGTCGCCACTTGCGAGTGAGCGAAGGGCGACGCGGGCGCCTGCCGGGCCCGTGCGGGGGTTCCTGTGTATTTTATACTCATACAAAAAGCATCCAGTAGAGTAAAATGATATGTGGGTTTTCTTCAAAAGAGCTGCTTTTAGGAAACACAGATGAAAATAGTATTTTTAGCAAGCTACTGACAAAGTTGGTTATTACTGCAACACCTCCCTCTGCAGAGACGCCTCGGCTTCCTCCCTGAACTGGAGCTGTGTTATCCACTGTCCAGAGGAACCAGACTGGACCTGAGGACCTTTCCTATCCCAGGGTGTCCCCCAGAGTTCAGAATGACAGGGAGGACCTTGGGGCAGTGGGTGAGGCAGAGACTTCTGTCTGGGATGCAGCAGAGACTGAGAAATTGCTGGGGCTCGCTGAGGCCGTCCAGGAAGCCCAGGGCGCGTCCAGCCTTCCGGCTCTTCCGTGGCCTTGGAGACCGCCTGGGCGCCCGGGCTGAGTCGGTCCTGCGCGCATAGTGGGGCGCTGAGACCCCTCCCGCCGCCCCCCGCCGCCCGCAGTGTGACGGGCTGGGGGAGAGCCGGTGGCAGCCGCGTCCCGAGGGATTCCCGACGCGTGCGCCACTCGGCGGCTTCCCGAGCAGGGAATTGCCTTCTCTCACCGGGTCTTCTGGAAATCTCTCTTGGAGAAGCTTAAAACAAAACCAGAGAGCACGAGGACCAAACTCTGTGTGTTCTTTACAAGAAAGCATCCCCAGGCTTTCCAGAGAGCTCCGTGCCAGCGTGGGGCCCAGAAACAGCCTTCTGGGGAAACCCGCGTGTGCCTGAAGGGGTGCTGCTCCCCGACCGCCTGCTTGGGCACAGCCTTGGCGGGCGCCGGGCGCCACCCTCACACGTGACGTGCTTCTCTCATTTCTTTTTCAACAGGGGACTTGTCATGTTTGAGAATAAAACCTACGTCCTGGAGCCGGTGACGGAGCCAGCCGGCGCCTACAAGCTGGCCCCGGCGGAGAGCCTGGGGGGCCTCTGGGGGGCCTGCGGGGCCCTCCACGGCTCCTGGGGCGCAGCTGCAGGCCAGCACCCACCACCCTCCCAGACGCGGGCAAGAAGGGTAGGAAGGGGCCCCAGGGCGAGACTGTGGGGAGCTGGGCATCTGGTGCGTGCCCCCCGGTGTCGGGAGGGAGGACGGCCCCCCGGGAGTCTCGGGGGCTTGGTAGCCCCTTGGGGGCTGATCAGGTTCTGAAGCTGGTGCGCGTGGGGACCTCCACGCCGGGCAGCACAGGCTCAGGGGGCATGAGGCCGCCGTCCATGGGCCTCCGCGAGGGCAGGACCCAGGGGCGCCCACCACCCCCGGAAGCAAGGGGACCCGCTCCCAGGACCCCGAGGAGCCGTCTCCTCCGCCCACGTCCAGTTCACGCGTGGAGCGCCAGTGCCCACCAGAGCCCGTCCAGCTGTCGGGCCCAGGAGGCTCCTCGCCCCGCTGAGACTGCGCCTCCAGCAACTCCACCAGGAACGAGCGGCACGTCCAGAACAGCGCCCCCCCGCCCCGGGCGGCCGAGGAGCCCCCCAGAGCAGCCCGCAGCCGTGTCGGCTGGAGACCGGGCTGAGACGAGCCGCCAGCCTGGGGCGCCGCGGGGACCCTGTGCTTGCTTGACAGCCCAGACACCTCCGCGCCGCCCCAGCTCAGGCCACGCGGGGGCCGCCCTGGCCCGACTCGGGGCTCTCACTGCGCCGTGGAGTGTGCCCGCCTCGCGCCGGCTCCCCCTCAGCTCTCTCCCCTTGGCTCACGTCTAAGCGTTTCTCCAGTTCACACCGCAGGGGTAGCCAGAAGGCTAACTGCCCTTCCCACCTGTGGGCAGGGGTGTGTCCTGGAGCCCGTTCGCACCTGAGCCGGTTGGGACTTCTCATTCTAGCGGGGTTCTCGCTTCCCTCCTCCCGTGTCGCCTGCGTGGCCCCACCTTCCTGTGTTTGTTCACAGGCTCCCGAGATCTCTGGCGGGTGCTCACAGGTTCTTTGCTCCCCACCACGCAGGCGCAGGTAGAAAGACACCTGTCGGGCACCGTAGCTCACCTTGGCACGGACACCCCAAGGAGGGGGCTGGACCTGAATCCCCGAACTTGAAAGACGCCCCATCTGCCACCGCCCCATAAATCTGCCCCGCTTTTCTCCACCCATCAGCACGTCAGAGTCAGGAGCGGGGTGGCCTCTCTGCGGCCCTGGGCGCACGTCCCTCTGACCCCTGGCCCAGAGCAGAGGCGGCCAGGCTGTAGCTTCTGCACACACGAGCCAGCCCCCCGTTTACATGGCGTGGTGCAGGCACTCCCTCGGGGCACCGCGGGGCCCGCCGTTGCCCACGCTGAGACGTCTGAGTCGGGCTGGGGCTCGCTGGCCAGCTTCTGACCCTGTGCCCGAGCTCCCTAGACAGGGTGGGCGGAATCCCCGCCACTCAGACTAGAGAAACGTTTCGGTGAGGCCTCGTGGAGTGCGGCGAGCTGCGAGTCAGAGGCAGGCGTCGCCGCAGCCCGGTCAGTTCAGTGTGTCTCCAGGTACTGTCACTGTCCTCAAAAAGCAACTTACAGGTCGGTGGCACTGGGGAGCTGAATTAGCGCCCCGGCACCCTCACCTGCCCGCCTCCACGAGACGGCCAGAACCCTCGTGCTCCGCTTCTCTCCCGCCCGTGCGCCGCTTCCCGGCACCCTCTGCCGGCTCCGCGTCCACTGGCGCGGCGGGGTGCGGGCTGCGCTCTCCTGCCTGCTGGCCTCTCCTGCACGGCGCAGCAGGAGCCTGCGCTGGGTGTCCGGGCGGCGCTAAGCGCCAGCTGTTGGCCACCTTGACAGGACTCTGGGTTCATTGTGGGAGCCCGAGGGGCTCCGGCAGGAGGCCTGAGTCAGAGCCCCAGGGGCGGCTCCCTCTGCAGGCCTGGGGGTCCCGCCGCAGCCCCCTGCGCCCCCTCCCCCTCAAGGGCCCCTGTGGGGACGCACAGCCCCTCGGCTTGGCCCAGCCAGCTGGGTCTACCTGCTGCTGGCGCCCTCGCAGCACACCGCAGAGGCAAACCTCAGCACCCGTGCATTTTCCTTCCGGGGGTTTCACGATCCCTCCTCTGGTCAGAGCTGCCAGCAGCCGCCTCCCCAGCCGCGGCCTGCTGGGCTCCTGAGTAGGAACAGGCCGCTGCCCGGGGCTGCGGGTGTCCGCAGACCCCACGTGGGCCAGGATGCCGCCCGAGGCCTCCTGGAGACCCCCCAGCCTTCATCTGGCCCCTCTGCCGGGGAAGGTGTCCTCCCCGCGCCGTGCTGTGGGGCTGGCCTGGCTCTGTCCGTGCGGCTGCCCCCTCTCTGAAGGCCCGTCGGGCTGTGGGGAGGGGTGGCGCTCTCCCGTGCCCAAAGGGCCCAGCCCTCACACCGGGCGTCTAGTGCTGCCCACCAGGCATCAGAGCAGTCTCCTCCCCCATAGCGGCGGAGCCGTCGCCCCACAGCGGGGTCCCCCAGAGCCCCAGGGCTCACAGTGCTGCGCGAGTGCGCGGGCTCCTGCCTCTCGGCTCAGCCCCCAGGCTCCGAGCTTCTCTGGGGAACCATCTGGGGCGCCCCCCTCCCCCGTTTTAGACGGGCTCTCGGGGCTCTGTGACCAGGGTGGCCTCGGCCTCGTGGCATCCGCCCTGGCCTGCAGGCGTGGCCACGGCCGGCTGGGCTGGACGGCGGGGGGAGCGCACCATCAGCAGCGCCCTGGCCCCTCGCGTGTCCCGCGACCCCCGTGATGGCAGAGTGGCGGCTTCCCGCCGGGCTCTGGCCTGGGCGATGCCTTGTAAGGCCGCCCCCTCCCTGACGGCCCTTTCCTCCTAAATACGCCTTCGGGGTTCTCCCAGGCATTCCTAGGAAAAGCCAGTGTTTTCCTTGTCTGTTAGCGGGAACTTGAGTCCAACGGGTCCCCGCAGCGGCTCGGCTGGGGCAGGCGCCCCCCGCTGCTCTGGTCAGCTCGCCCTGCCCTGGAGAGGCGCCTCGGGCCGCTCCTCACCCCCGCCGCCCCGCCCTGCGCCTCGCTCCAGGCACTTCTTCCAGTGTGCTCTCGCTGGACGTTGTTTCTTCCTGCTGGCTCTCCTCGGGTCTCCTCCGAGCACCTGCTCGCCTGGCCTGTGCCCTGATGACCGGCCGTTCTGCCTGTCCCCTGCTGTCCAGCGCTGGCTCTGACCAGATGAGATGCGCCCCCTGGTGTAGGTGGCCCGCAGGGTTCTGGGATTCCTGCTCAAAAACATTTTCACTTTTCTCAGACCACAAAACCGAGACAAGGACAAAACCAAAGACGAGGGCCACGATCTCCCCCTCAGCCTCAGGAACCTTGCGACGGGGCTCTGGGCTTGCTGGACGCCGCGTGTGCACGGCCAGCTGCTCGCGTAGCTGCGTCTGACCGGACGCGCGGTGACTGGGGGCTCGGAGCCCTGCTCGGCTCCCTGGCGACGTGGGGCCGGCCTCCGTGGGGAGGTTTCCCTGGGGCGCTCGGCGGGGACGGTTTCTGGCTGGAAGGGCCGTGTAGGCGCCCGGCTGGGTGGTCAGTGAGTTTCGCCCCCGCTCAGGCATCCCACCAGCAAGGTGTCGGCAGGGTGTCGGAGGCCGCAGGGAAGTGTGGACAGGAACTAAGTCCGTGTTTGTTTTTGGCAGCAAAAAAGAGAGACGCTCAAGCTGACCAAGTACGTGGAGCTGGTTATCGTGGCAGACAACCGCGAGGTGAGAGCGCCCCAGACGTCTCGGCCGGCCGGCCAAAGGCATGAAGACAGTAAAGACAGCATTAAACGCATCATTTCCTGCTCGAATTGACCTCATTTCCATGAGTCTTCAAAAGTGTTGTAAATAGCTCCCTTGAAAAGTGGTCTTCTGATAGCGTAGAGTATAAAATAGTCACAGTCCATCTGATGTTACGGAATAATAGCAAAGGTTGCAAAGCAAGCAGGAGCCCAGAGAGGCCTGCAGCTAAGCTCTCCAAACAAGGAGAATTACGGGGGGGTGGGGGGGGGGCGGGCAGCAGATGGCTTTAGGACACAGTCTCAAATGCGTTGGGAAAAGTTTGATGTAAAACATGTCCCATTATGTCCTAAATCCAACGAATGAAGGCAGCGGCAGCAGAGATTGCTCGCCAAATCACAGTTTTATAAACAAATGGCAAATCGATAACATTTGATTGAGTAAGAAGAAAAGGCAGGAATATTTGGGAAGGAACACCCGGTCAGTGTCCACCTCTCATATATTTTATATTATATATAAAATATATATACAATAGGTTCTTAGATGATGAGAACGAAACCGTGCTTGCTGGAGGGGTGTGTGGCTGTGGGTAACACGTGTCAGTAAAGGGGTTCGGTCCGTGGTGAGGATGGAAACCGGATTCAGGGGGTGAGTATACGGGAGCCCACACAGATGCTCAGCTGTAACTCAGGGCCCCTGCAGCTTACAGGATACCAGGGGCATGGCAGTGAAGATTTCAGATTTCCTTTTCAGAAAGGAAGTGCAGCAGGAAGAGCCACTGAGTCCCGGCTCGAAACGAAGCTGGGTTCTCTTTCCACGCACACAGCATCTTTAGGCTGGTTTCTCGGACTGTTCCTTGCCTTTGCCACGCTCTGAATGAATGGAGTGACACCTTCTCGCCACCTCATTCAGCGCCTTGAGCAAAACAAGCGTGCTAATATCTCAGAAAACCATTCCCATGTGGAAAGCCAGCGGCGGAGAGAAGGAAATTCACCCACTTTTTACCCATTCGCCTCTGCGTTGTTTGACTTGTTTGCCTCAAGCTGCTAGTCCTTTCACTATTTAGTTTTTAAAAGCAAATTGGAAGGAAATTCCTAGGGAAGTTGAAATCGAGTTGACGATGAGAAATGGCTTGGGAGCGCCTTCCAGCTGTCTGTTTTCCCTTTGCCAAAACATGTCACTGCCTCCATCCTTTATGAGGCTGGAAAAATCGCAGAAGTTACTGTCTTATGAGCTCTTGGCCCGGGTGAAATTCAGGGAGTTTCAGAAAGTCCCTGAACGGGAAATTACTCGGCAGGGTGGGGACCAGGGACGATCCCCCGTGGTTTGTAAAGCTGAGTCTTCACATTTCCAGGAGCTGGGAAGATGGGAGTTGATTGACATCCCTGCCACTAATAATGCTGACATTTACAATTGTTAAGTTTCAGAGGCAAGGAAAAGATCTGGAGAAAGTTAAGCAGCGACTGATAGAGATCGCTAATCACGTTGATAAGGTATGTCCTCCTGCAGGTAATTCAACCGCTCCCGTCATGTGAATGTTTGGAAATGGACGGGGCGACTGGGCAGGGAGGCCCCCTTCCCGGCCCTGGGCTGGCAGCGGGATTCCCTCCTCAGCGCCGGGCTCCTGGGTCACCCCACGGTCGGACTCTTCCAGCCAGGGAACCCCCCACACACCGTAAGGCCTAGAACCCCAACACGGTGCATCTGCCCTTTGAGGACTCCCCGACTGGGCTCTTTCCCAGGCCTCTGCACCAGCCCCCACCGCTGCTGCCAGCTATGGGGGCTCCCTGGGCTCCCCAGACGTGGGACACAGAGATTGACTCTGGCTCCATCAGAGTGGGAAGTCCCTCACCCGGAGCTGGGTCAGCAGCGCCTTAGCAAAGGCCTGGGAGCCTGGCCGGTGCACACCACGGGTCGCTGCTCCTTACATGTTGGTTCGTGAGAACCGTGGGGAACGTGCCTCAGACAGGGCTCCCCCACTCCTGGAACTCCTGGGGGGCCTGGGACGCCCAAGGCATGGCTCCCTGGGGTGGCAGTCAGAGAGCAGGACCATCCCCAGGTGATTCTCATGGCTGCAACACACCCTAAGACAGCCCAGCACAGTCGGGGGGGCGCCCCAGGAGGCCTGTAGGCAGCCCGGTGACGTGCACTTGGGGCTTCAAGTTTCCAGGGAAACGAAAGCCACCCCACCCCACAGAGCCACCCCTGACTGCTGGACAGAGCCAGGCGTGTGGATTCAGATGGCCCAGACGAGGCCTTCTGAGACCTCTGAGGTAGAGGAAGCGTGGCCGAGGCCAGCCCGGCTGGCTGGTGGCTACGACGCACGGGCCGCGTCGCTGCCCTGTCCAGCTGCTTTGCCGCCCACTGTGGCATCGCCTGCTTGGGTTTGAAAACGCAAAAACGAACCCTCGGGGCTCCTTATAGCTCGCGCTGGTGGCTGAGAGCAGCGTGGCTCAGCGTGGGCCCGGCGGGCGGCGGAGGCGCTGGTCTGGCTGTGCTCCCGTGGCTGGTGGCGAGCGGGGCGGCTGGCCCCTGGGGGCCCGCGGGGGGCCGCTGCTCCGTGCGGGGGCCAGGGCTCTGTTGTGCTGCCCGGCTGAGGGGTGCCCCGGCCCAAACCGGGTTCCGGCGCACCATCCTCCTCTGCCCTTGTGGACTCTGAAACGGCCACTTGGCTGGCTACGCAGCAGCCGCAGGGAGGGGGAGGCCCAGAGTGGACGGCGGGGCAGGGTGCGGTGGCCGAGGAGATGCAGAAAGCCCGGGGCGCCCAGCCAGCCCTGCTCCGGTTGCCGAGCCACCCCCAGGCCCCGTCAATGCAGAGTGGGGGCGCCGGTCCCGTGAAGGGAGCAAACCTTTCACCTCTGCTCTGTCCTGATTCTTTCTCAGCAGGATTTAGCACAGCTGCGAATCCCTGAAGGCGGCGCCTCCATGCCTGCCTGGGGAAGAACGCGCCTCCCGCGGTTTAATTTCTTGGCGTGTTTTCCTCTGCGCACTGGCCTTCCTTCCTCTCCAGGGCCCTGAGCCTGGAGGAGTCACGTTCCTGTGTTGGACCCCAGAGATCACCCTCACGCCGCCCACTGTTTTTTCAGATCCACTTCTTCCAGGAAGCCCTCCTGGAGCCTCAGCTTGGCTTCCCCGAGCCCACTTCTGGGTAGATCTGTGTGTTGGAGGGCTCAGTGCCCCGTGCCCGAGCCTCCTGCTGGGTGTCCCAGGGCCCGGCCTCAGCAAGAGCCAGGCAGACGCTGCTGCCCTCTGTCCACAGGCGTCTGAGGCGCCCTCAGGCCCGGCTGCGCACAGCGGGGTTCCTAGGCAGCAGACCGCTTCTCTCTGGGGCCTCCTCTGGGCCCCGGGAAGGCGCCTGAACGCTGGGCAGGGAGACAGCCTGGTGGCGGGACAGCCTGGCGCTGGGGCCGCCCCGCGTCCTCCCGCGTCACGACAGCAGGGTCAGCGCATCGTTCTGGGAGCGCGGGGCCGCAGAGGCCCTCACCCTGCCTCGAAGTCTGGGTGCTCGTCCACGTTTGCGACCCTCCTACCGTAAAGGGGGCCCTAAGGGGGCTCGCGGAGCAGGCAGCAGGGGGCCCTACGTGGCCACTTCCTGAGGGTCACACACGCCCCGTTCCTCGGAGCCTGGTTTCGGGGGGGTGGCATGGCATCTACTGCTGGGGTGAGACCCCTTCTAAGGAGGTGACTGGCGAAGGCGAGCGCGTCGGTGGGCGGCGCCAAACACCCTTATCAGGAAAACGCCCCTCGTTAGCACCGAAGCCCGCTCCAGGGCGGGACAGCTGGCCAGCACCGCTGCTCCTCGCAGCAAGCCGAAGCCCGCCCGGGGCGTCTGTGCCCAGGGCCGCCCTGGGCTGGCGTGGGCTCCGCTAGCCTCCTGCTGCTTCTCCCTGGGCCTGGGTACCCCCACGTGATCCCTGCGTCATGGCACAGCAGCCGAGCATGGGCCCGTGGGTTCCAGAGGAGGCCGGGAACCGGAGATTCAGGCAGGCCTGGGCTGGGACGTGGCCGGCGACGGTCCAGCACAAGCCGCCTTGGTTGCAGGCCAGCTCAGGGCAGCGCCGGGTGGTGCGACTGACCGCTAACTCACTCACGCGACGCCCGCTAGTGCCCGGAGACCAGGCTGCCCGCTGCAGCCGCTGTGTCTCTGCTGTAGCTTGTGTTCAGTCCTGCTCCTCGGCTCGCCCCCTGCTCTCCAGATGACGGGAGACGGGCCAGGGAAGCCATGGGCCTGTCTCGCTCGGGTCAGGCCCTGGGTCAGAGGCTCAGCTTTGGGGAGATTCTTGCCTGTGACTTCACCGCTCTGGAATGGGGCGTAGCTCTCAGCTGTAGAGCTCCTGTGAGTTTTGTGACTTGTTGGCCAGATACTCTAGCAACTGAGAAGAGACCTGCTCACATCTGGAACTTGTCTTCGGGTATTATCTCCACCCACCTCTTGCCCCTCGGCTGCCTGCCGCATCAAGAAGACTCTGTCTTTGTGTCCTGCCTCACACACCACAGGCGTTGAAGGATCGGACAGCCAGGCAGACGGCCCCCTGTCCGGGCCCCTCCACCCCAGGCTCAGCGCCACCCCCGCCTCTGGCCTGCACGGGGGCAGCGAGGTAGTGCGGGCAACGGGAAGCCCTCCCTCTGCCCGGGCTGCTCGTCCGCAGCGGGCCCGTGGGGAGCAGCCCCGTCAGCCTCTGCAAGAGCCCCCACCCCCACCCCCGCCCCAGGCTTGCCGAGAAAGGGCTGTGGGCTGAGGTCAGGAACACGGGCCGCGGGACGACTTGCCTGCTCCTGGAAGCTTCCCTCGACAAGCTTGCCAACGAGGAACTTCCCACAGCAGACTCTCCCCCGACGCTGTCGCTAAGCTTACGGCTGGCTGTGAGGAGAAAGGCCATAAAAGTGTGTGCAGAGGGTTCTGTGTGCGCCTTTACTGCGCTGACAGATGCTGACTTGTTCACTTAATGAAAAACTCCTAGGTGGATGGTAGGTGACAGAATAGGATCGTGTCCGCCAAGTCTGAATCTTTGCTGAAAAATTAACACAGATTCCTTTTCATTAACTCATAAGTAGAACATTTGCTTAACGCGAACAAATTATTGTCCTTGGCAGAGTGTCTCAGAGATCCTGATTCACTCATTGTTGTACTAGCTAGCCTCGGGCAGGGCAGGGTCAGCTCTTGGCCACGTGCACATGTTAGCCCACCAGAACGCGCTTCCCGGCCAATGAGGACAGGCTGGCGACGGCTGAAAACAGCCGGGGGGCAGCGGCAGCAGAGAACCCCCCCTGCGCCGGGCGCCGTGACACTCCTTGAGCGCCGGAGCCCGGGGACCCAGAGCGCCCGGGGGTCGCTATCACCAGAGCTGCCCGTCTGCCCCTTCCCTCTGTGCGCATTAACGGCCCCCCAGAGGACCCCTGTCTCCCTCAGTTTTACAGACCGCTGAACATCCGCATCGTGCTGGTTGGCGTGGAGGTGTGGAATGACGTGGACAGGTGCGCCATCAGCCAGGACCCGTTCACCAGCCTCCACGAGTTTCTGGACTGGAGGAAGATGAAGCTTCTACCTCGAAAGTCGCATGACAATGCCCAGCTGATCAGGTGGGCCTGGCGGACTCTGTTGCTTAGAGACGGTCCCGGCACATGCACTCTGCGCTGCCCGCTCTGCGGCCCTGGGGTGCGGGGAGCCCCCAGGCCCGTGGGCGGGAGCCGCCATCCCGGCCGGAACTGTGGGTCTGATGGGAACGTCTCCCTCTGCACCCTGAGAAAAACACCCTCTCCGCCCCCCCCCCCCCCCCCACCGCCTGGCAGGTGTTTTCTCATCTTGGCTATGACGCTGGCCCGAGTGGGCTGTTTTCCCAAAGCTCGTTTGCTGTCATTGTTAGTAAAAACTGGCTGTGCCGGCTGTGCCGTCTCTGGTCGCCGCCGCCGGTCGGGAGATGACTAGCGTGTGCCTGTGTCCCCGTCCGCTTGCGCTTCCCGGCCAGAGGCCCCAGCAGTGGCACCTTCACCCTGCGTCTTGGTCCATGCGTGGTTGGCACCAGTTATGAAACCACCTGCTTCAGGGGCTTTGAACGCAAACCTGGAAGCCCCCAGCTGGAGCCGCCCCGGGGTGCCGGGAGAAGGAAATTCCTGTAAAGTGAGTGGCACCTGGACCCAGGCTAACGTGTGGCACCGTGAAGCTGTCCGCGGCCACTGCAGCACGAGTTCGATCCCCGGCCGGGGGGTGACCCCCAGACAGACCCCTCCCGTCTCCCCGCTGCCCCCCTCAGCGGTGCACTTTGTCCATCTGCCTGTCCTGCTCCCCGCTCTGTCTCTGGGGAATCCTCTCACCCCCTGCACCTCTGACCTGTGCCCCAGTTCTGTGTGCATGAGTAAGTCTTAAAAAAAAAAAAAAAGATAGTGGCCCCAAGGGAAAGACAATGCTATCGTAGGGTGACCTGTTGGGGTGCATTACAGACACCTCCACATTTAAAAAGAAAGCCCTGTCACCCTCCAAGGCAGCCAGGAGATGTTACCGAAGCGACAGTGGCACCGTTAAAGTCCATCACCCGTTCACGCCGTGCTGTCTGCTGCTCGGGTATTTCGCTGAACTGAAAGCCACAGGGTCAAAGACACTTTTCTGCGGCGAGCCGTCTAGTTTATTCCACATTTATGAAAAGCTAAAAAATGTCCTTCCCCCTTCCTCTCTCTTTCAGAAATGCCCACATGCACACGGACTGTTTCAATTCCCTGGTCATTTACTTTGGCCATTTTCACAGGTTCCCCGCCTTGGATACTTGCGGTCGCCTCATATTTTATGCCCTGATTAATCCTGAACAGCTAAAAGGAGAGTCAGAGTGTTTTGGTTTTTTTCCCAAATGGAGTCTGTCCAGCTTGAACATCTGGAAATAAATTAGCCTCTTATAGGACCTTATTATTTATACACAAGCCTAAGTGTATCTGTTCAAATGGTGTCTGTGGACATAAATATAAAACCTGCAGCCCTCCTGCTGGATTGAAACGCGTAGACGAGGGTGGAACGCACACACGCGTCGCCCGACGGGTGCCCGCCAGAATGTCTGACTCTGCAAGTGGCCGATGTAAACCGACGGCAGCGGGCACCAGGACAGCGTGTCCACGCGCCTGTCCCTGCAAGGAGATTCAACAAATAATGTTTCGTCTTCCCGCCTTTATTTTTCCCCACTGTTCTCCCTTCTCTCCCTCCCCCTCACTTTTTTTTTTTATTTTATAATAGTTTATTTTTACATCATTGTGTGCATTTTTCCACCTCAGTTGCATCCCCGTGGGCTTCCCATCACTAAATCACCCGTGTGCCATCACCACAGTCCAGTGCATTTCCTTCCCCCCACTGTTTTTGACCCCATCCCCACTCCACCCCCACAAAATGTCTCTGGTATATAGCTGTTCATCATTATCATTATTTTCTCACCTGGTCCATTATACTCCTGCTATGAGTGAAACCATCCGGTATTTTTCTTTCTCTTTCTGGCTTATCTCACTAAGCATGATCCCTTCCAGCTCCATCCAAGTTGCTGCAAAAGACATGTGTTTCTCTTTTTTGGTTGCTGAGTAATATTCCATTATATATATGTACCACATCTTTTTAATCCAGTCATCTACTTTTGGGCAAGTTGGCTGTTTCCATGTCTTTCCAACTGTGAATAAAGCAGCAATAAACATGGGGGTGCAGGTATCTTTTTGAAAACAGTGTTTTTGTGTCCTTTGGGTGGATACCTAGGAGTGGGATTGCTGAGTGATAGGGAAGCACCTTGTTTAGCAGTTTGAGGAACCTCCAAACAGTTTTCCATAGTGGTTGTACCAGTTTGCATTCCCACCAGCAGTGCAGGGGAGTTGCTTTTTCTCCACATCCTCACCAACATTTGTGGTTGCTAGTTGTTTGAAGATGTGCCGTTCTCACTGGGGTAAGGTGGTATCTCATTGTGGTTTTAATTTGTATCTCCCTTATTGCAAGTGATGTTGGACATTTTTTCATCTGCTTGTTGGCCATCTGCATTTCCACTTTAGAGAAGTGTCTTTTTAGCTCTTCTGCCCATTTTTTGATGGGGTTGTTCACTTCATTTCCCCCTCACTTTTAACCTCAGTAACCTCACTCTTGTGCTCTTGCCTACTAGTCTTCAGAAGCGTTTTGCTTTGTGGGATCAGCTGCTCTGTGTGACGCCCAGAGTCTGTCTGTACCAGCCTGGCTCGCGCCCACGCAGCACCCCTGGGGGAGCCTTCCTTTCGGCCCAGGACAACCCGAGTCTCGCCTTAAGACTATCCTGTGGTGGGACTGGGCCACCTCTTCCTGACCAGCCCTGACATAGTGGCCTCCTACGTTGTCCCACATCCTCGTTGGGAGTCGCGCTGCATGGCCAGGGAGAGCGGTCACTTGCAGCTGATGGCTATCTGTCCTGAGCAGCTGCCCACAAGGTCCTTTTTAATGCATGAGGTTGGAATTAATTTCATGAAACAGGCCTTGAGGTTCTTAGACTCCATCAGGTTTTAAGTTTCCCTGTAGGAAAAGCCTGTGCCTCAGCCATGAGATCCCCTTCCAGAAGCTTCCTGCCAGGATGCCAAGGCTTCGTAGGTATTTACTTCTGCTAAGCTGGCTTCAGAGAAGCAGTCATGTTTCAGCCAGCTTCACTGCTGCGAGCTACCTTGGCAGGACATTTTGAGAGTTTGGGCTTCTGGCCTCATGGTTATGTTACACAGCTACCACCAAAACGCTGTAAACCAGCTCATGCATTTCATTAATTAACCGTGCTCCTCTGTGACACTCTCACCCTCAGCAGCAGACCACGTAGAGCTGCTTCCTTCGTCCTCTGGAAACCAGGCGGAGACATAACCTGTACACACAGAGGTGTGGCTGGCGGGAAGCGGGACCTGAGGGGCCGGCGGCCCCACTGCCGCTGGGAAGTGAAGCTTGAGGGGGCTGGGCTGGGACCCCGGCCCACGTGTCCTGTTCTCTCACTTGCGTGCTGTTCCGTGCAGAGTTGAGGAGTGCCGGGGAGAGTTCCGAGCGTGAGAGAATGTCTTCTCCCTGATCCTCCTGAGCAGGTCCTTTCTTTGCCTTTCAGCGGCGTGCATTTCCAGGGGACCACCATCGGCATGGCACCCATCATGAGCATGTGCACCGCCGAGCAGTCGGGGGGCATCGTCATGGTAAGGAAGCCGCGCCCCAGCCAGCCGACCCAGCCCCTCCCGGCCCCCGCCGGCCCCTTGGGCTGCCGCCGCTTCCCGCGGGCTGAGGAACTCCATCCCTTTCCTTGCTTCGGTCTAGCCCGAGGCCTCCCCCAGTCCAACCGCGCCCCAGGGACTGTGTAACACCCAGGCCCACCCAGGGAGGGCAGCTCGTAAAGCTCTTGCCCTTTCCGTGATTCGGTCAAAGCCTCCTGGCCCAGGAACTCCTCCCCGCTGGGATGGGCCAGGGCCCCCGGCTGCCCTCCTCCGGGGGACCCGGGGCTGGACCAGCATCTCACCGCGCAAACCCCTTACAGTGGCTTCCTGAGGTTTCTGCCTCCAGGCCCAGCGGCCCAAAGTCTGAGGTTTTTGACTCGCCCCTGCCGACGCCCCACGTACCTCCTCGCCAGTGTCCAAACTGTCTTCATGCTAACCTTGCTCAGGGGCCTCCGTTTATTACTTTACACGACTAATTTAATCACACACGGGCTATTCATGAGTGTCAGCGGAAATAAATTGGGAAGGTGGTGGCTTTCTGAGGGAGGACGCTGTGGAAGGTGCCCCGGCAGGTACGCCCTCCACGCCACCACTCAAGGCTCATTAAGGCAAGGTGTTCACCCCGCTGGAAATGCAGGGCCCTGCCCCAGCCCCCACACAGGGGCTCCTCGGAGCCCACTCACCAGAAACCGGAACTCCTCCACATCCGTCACGTGAATGTGATGAATTTGCCTTGGTCTGGAAGGGCCGAGGAGCTCTGGCCCGCTGGTGTTGCTGCGTGCCCATCAGCTGTGCCCAAGCCTAGAGCACTCCACCACCCGGCAGTCACGTCTGTGGGCGGTATTGATCCGTTAGCAACAGCATGTGATAAATCTGGACACCGAATCGGCTGGCGTGTGGGCTGCGCCACTCCTGGGATTTCTGACTGGCGGGCTGCCCTCCGGCTCTCCCTGACCCACCAGCCGCCTTGTGTGGGATCACGCCCACCCACATCACGGCAGAGTCGAATTTCCATCGGTGCCAGGTTAATTTCGATCAGACCCCAGCTCTGTCTTCACAGAGCCGTCTATGCAATCGGAAGAGGAAGTACTTTGATGCGTGTTCCGTGGCCAGTCGCCACGGGCCAGGCCACTTAAAACTGACGTCACTGTTCTTTAGCGTCGAAACTGGATTCTTCATACAAATGACAGGTTCTGCCTCTGTGGTCCTATAACTGATGTAAACACATAAAAGGACGACCTCCAGCTCCTGTCTCTTTTTCTGTTTCCCTACAAGCATTTATCAAGATTCTTTCTTTGAAAGCACGCTGGGCTACCCAGTTTTAAAGAAAAGGAATGATTAGGAATAGGGGAAACATAAGCAAATTCGGATGCTGCCATAGACCGGACAAGACCGAAGTTAACCAACAGGAAACGTGTTTGGCCAACATCCTCCAGCCCATTTTGTGTGTTCCACGTGTAAAAGGAGCTTCTAGTAGGTTAAAAGGCCATAGAAACTGAAAAGATTTATTTATCTATGCATACAGAACTGGGGTGCAGGCCAGAGGTGGGGTCAGCTGCGTCACCCCCTTGGCCAGGATTGAACTGGCGCTGAGGCGGCTGCAGCCAGCTTCATAGTGCTGCACTTTAACCGGATGTACCACCAGGGAGGGTCGCAGCTCGATTCCTATAAAACTTACGAGACAAACAAGGTCAATGCCGCAACCAGCTCTACCGCCCCAGGCCGGCGTGCTCCTGTCTGCCTCTCACATGTGGGGCCGGCAGCCACGCTGCTTCGGGGAGCTCAAGACTACGAGGGAGCGAACCGTGGAGGCCGGAGTCTCGTCAGTGAGACGTGTGTCTCTCTTTTTGCAAGCCGAGCACTTAGTGAGCTTCAGAAGTAACTTACAATGTGACTTTATCTAATTGGGCCCCCGCAGTCCTGGCTTGAGGGTGACGCCTGGATGAAGAGGCAAATATAAACTGTTGACAAATATAAACTGTTTATCAGGGTCTCTGAAGAGACATTCGCTGGCAGTCACCTAGGCATGAAAGAATGTAAAACAACTCGACAATTAAAAACAAAACCGAGAGACTGGGAGACACGACAGAGTCAGACGTGGAGTCGTGTTTTAAGGATGAATTTATTCCCGATATTCTGAGCCAGAGCTCGCTAATGGCCCACTCTGCATTCTTGCAAGGACTGCATTCTTCGCCAACGTGTGTTATTCTTGAGAACCGATTTCCTGAAACATACTTGTGAGGCTTCCTACAACAGGAAACTGTAAAATCTAAACAAAGCAATTTATTAGGAATTTCATCTGTTCTAAGCAGCACGTGGTTCCCCGACAGGCCATTCTTGTCTCAGG